TCTTCTACAATAGAGTTTTATGCTACTGCATGAACCAGTGACAGTCCACTGACAGATTTAGTTTATGAAGCAAAAGTTTTCCATTTTTAAGACTTTGAAAGGACTTCCATTTAAGTTATTTTGGAAGGCCCCGAGGAATAATGAAGTGGCTGAAGGCCTGCCTTGCAAGCATGTGGTTACAAAATGAAATCCTGCTGGTCCAATGCATCTACTGACATTCTAGCAGCTCTGCTTTCTGTGATTTCTAGCCACACCTGAGTAAGGAGCATGTAAGTAACCACAAAAAGGGTGTGACATCCCCCAGCAACTAATAAGATGCATGAGCACCCTGGTCACATACTGTGACCTTTGGCAAGCACCCTAGCATTTAGCTAGTATGCAACTCAGAGTATGAGCCCTGGCAAGTGCATGTGTAGGAACCAAGACAAAAGAAGCATAAGTCAGCAGAGAGAACCTCAAAGGGGTGAGTGTCAGCTTTACATGGGAGGCTCAGGCTCCATCTCCAGCACTGCCTGGTCTCCCAAGCACAGCTGGCAGTGACCTTGGGACCCAGAACCAGGAGTACCCCCAAGCACCACCCGGAAACCAACCAGCCAAGAAGTAGTGCAAATCTCAGTGAACACCGTGGCTCAGTGTGTGAGAACCAAAGCCTAAAGTGCAAGGCAATTACAAGCCCCACTACCTGGCTAAAAGTGTGCCAGCACCACAGTCAGACGTGTGTGTAATCCTGGCCATCAGAAAAACACCAACAGTACTGAGCCAAGGGAGAGAGTGGAAAGATAAAAAGAAAAAAATTTTTGACTTGCTTCTTGAAAATGCAAAGACACACCTTAACTTAGGGAAACAGCCCAAAGGGCCAGAGTGTAGGATAACACTGTTTTGTCCTTCCTCAGGTAGCTTAGGTCACACCCATCCCAGTGCTCCTGAGTCACTCCCATTCCTCTGTTTATCTGTAAACTCTTTTCTGTGCTCTCCTCCCCAGCCAGTTAATCACCTTTTCTCCCTAATCAGATTCTGTTAGCTTGTAAGATCAGATCCTTCTAAGGACACTGAATTTGCATTGTAAGCAATGTCTTTTCTGTATGGACACAGGAAGACAGTTAATATTATGCTTTGTAACTTGGGAGTTGATTGACTCCAGATAGTATTTACTCCTGGGCATCTGCTTTCTTTACTCAGTTGCCCTTAGTTCCTAGCACCCCCAAAGCAGGTCCCGACGAGGGACTGAATGGACCCAGGGCAAGCTGTGAGCTACCCTGGCATCGAAATGGGCCAGGCCAAAGCGCCACGATACTCAACTATAAGTTGAGGGCATGATCATGGACAAATGCTGTCATGATCCAAAAGTAAGTAACGAACGGGACTAGGATCCTGCTGGGGCTAGGAAGACTAACCTGGCTTGAGGACTGTGGAATGTATAGTGAGATGTTTATATCTCTTACTGTGCTCACACAGAATAACATTGCTAAAATATTAGAAGTAGATTTACTACAACTATTTAAGTAGATTACTAGCTGAAGAAAGAGCACACCCTTGTTAGGATCCCACCCTTGAGCGGATCTCCTAGTAATCTGGAGTAATCTCTTTAGATGAGATTTTACTCTTAGAGGAGTGGTTTTACCTCTCTTTGTTGATTTGTAATTGTTTAACCCACCTTTGTGTCACCACACTATGTGATTGCTATATAAACTAAGAATGTAAGCTCGGAGAAAGCAGAGTTAGAAGTGAGAGAGCTTGGGCTCTGGAGATCCAGAGTCAGAGCAAGAGGGGCCCAAGCTTGAGAGAGAGAACAGCCGCCCTAATCCAGGCCATACACAGCGGCACAAGAGCACTGAATGTGGGTGGTGAGATAGAGCTGTCCAGAGAGCCCATGAACACACAACCTTCAACGTGCTAAGATTTTACACCAGAGGCCATGCTTTGCACACAGGAATCCCCTCATTGGATCCCAGGCACCACACAGTACCCCCAGTCTTAAGACTGGGTGTATAAAACAATAGACATTTAAGGACCCAAGCAGGTATGATGCTTGCCTTGCATGTGGCCAAGTTGGATTTGATCACTGGCATCCCATATGTTCCACTGAACCCTGCAAGGAAAAACATTTAATGTTCTCAGACATCTGGAGCCTGGGAAGTCTGAGATCAAGGAACCTGTGATTCAGGCCCTCTGAGGGTTCTGTTCCTGGTTTACTCCTTCTCAAGAGTCCTTACTGGCAAAAAGAGTGCTCCTCTATATATAAGGTTTTAGCGCCATCACATTACCACCCCACCCTTATAACTATATTGGCTATGTCCAAATACCATCACAATGAGGATTAGGGCTTCAGTATATGGATGGGGAAGGGCAAAATTCAGTTTATTACACAAAATTTCTAGAATTTAGCCTTTAGAAAATAAGCTATTTTACAATATCATTTTTGGGGGCTTTTGGGGTCACTCCTAGTGATGGTTCAGGAGTTACTCCTGGCATCGCTTGGGGGACCATATGGAATGCTGGGGATTGAACCAGGGTAGGCTGCATGCAAGGCAACGGCTTACCTGCTGGACTATCACTCCAGCCCCTATTTTACAATATTATTGATATCTGCTCTTTGATTTTTGCTTGTTTTCTGTTTTCTCTGGGTTTTTAGGCCACACCTAATGGTGTCTGGGGATTGTTCAGGGTTCACTTCTGGAAGGTTGACATACCCTATGTGGTGGTACCAGAGATGATCAAACTCAGGTCAGATGTTTGAGCTTGTACCTCACGCATTAGACTATTACTTCCCAATACTACTGAAAATAAAAACTAACATTTATTCAGTGACCAACATAAAAATAAACTGTGACAAATACTCTGTAAGCATTTTCATATTTAATCCTCACCCAAAAAGTTCTATTATATTCATTTTACAGATGAGAAGAGGCTAAGTAACTTGCCAGTATCAAGTAGCTAGAAAAATGAAGATCCCAGCAGACAATTCTCGTAGTTGCAGCTAATAATTATTATGTTGAACTTAAGGTATCAAAAGGCACAAAAAAGTTATCAGTAAAAAGCACTAAGGAACACCGAAAGTCCAGAAAGTACCATAGCTGTTCCACCTTAAACAACCAGTGTGCATACTTGGGGAAAATGAGGTTGTTGTATACAGGTAAAGGTGTGGATTACAGACCAATTTACACTCACCAGTGGGACCTGAGATTACCCCACAACTTCCTCAATCCTAGCTTAATATTTAACTAGGGTCACAACTCCAATTTCGAAATAAAATACAAAACCCCTGATATGCCCTGTTGCTCTAGTAAACTCTCCACCACCACCATTTGCAGCCATTAGGCTTAATCACAAGCAGTGTCAAGTATAAAGCATGCTCAACAAGTTGACAAGGCTTAAATACAACTCAAGATTAAGCCTAAAACTTCTATTTGCCCGCTTTTATTAATGGCTCTGAAAAGACTGCAAGAAAACTGAGCATGAAAACAGTCGTAAAGGGGAAAAGATATCCAAAATACTTATAAACATAGTTCATTCCAGATATTCTACAATTCTCTAGAGAGCAGAGATTTCAGGAACGTAGGACCTTTCCATTTGAGGCCGTTTTAAATATTAACCAAAAATGTAGTGTCAGACTTCTCTTTCGGCATTAAAGCATCGATGTCAAATGTTCAATAATTCCAAGACTGTCACTGTCACTGTCCTCCCGTTGTTCATCGATTTGCTTGAGCGAGCCCAGCCAGTAACGTCTCCATTGAAGACTTTGTTGTTACTGTGTTTGGCATAGACTACATCACGGGTAGCTTGCTAGGCTCTGCCGAGTGGGTGAGATACTTTCGGTACCTTCCCGGGTTCTCCGAGAGTGGCAGAGTTTGATTCCAAGACAAGATCACAGAATAAAAATCTGGTTATCTACACACTTGGAATATACAATCCTGAAGGCTAGCTGAGGCATTCACGGTTTCTTTTTTTTTCTTTTTTTGCTCCTTAGGTCCACATAGTTTCAAATTCTCGCTAACTTATGCTCAAGGAAATTTCATTTTCAAATTCCTGCTAACTTGTGCTCAATGTTAACTCTCAGCAAAGTTAATAACCCTAAATATATATGTATTTTTTTAACTTATTTTAGGTTTGGGGAGCACACTGGATCGTGCTCCGGGAGCACTCGTGGCGGTGGCGAGGGGACCCCGTGGGACTCTGAGGACTGAAATCTGCCCGCCAAGAGGTAACAGCAGCTGGACTATCTTCCCCGGCTCCAAAACAAGATTTAAAAAAACAAACAAACAACAACAACAACAACAAAAAAGCGAACACGGTTTCTTCTTCAGTTCTGACAAATCCCCCTCGCCCGCCCACTCCACACTGAAGTACTTGTCGCGCCCAAAGCAGCGGGACTCTGTGGAAAGCGTCTGGTCAGAGGCGGGTCTGCCCTGACAGGGATCGCGCAGAAACCCCATCCTCAGTCGGGAAACGGGTCCCTCAGCATCTGCGCTTCGCCAACTCGGACGCCGTCGCCACCGCGGGGAGAGGCTGACGCGGCCCCGCGCGAGCCCTCCAGCCCTGCCCGAGGCGACGCGGGGCAGGTGACCGTCCCCGAGTCGCCGTGGCCCGACGTCCCCGTCCCGTAGCGGCAGCGACGTGGCCGCGTGAGGAAAAAAGCTCCGCCGACAGGGCCTTGCCGCCCACCCTCGCCGGGCAGCCCCCCCCAGAGCGGCGACCGCTCGGCGGCGCCTCGTCACAAAGCCGTGGCGGAGAACCCACACGGGGCCGCCTCGGAGGCGCTCGCCGCCGCCGCCGCCGCCGCCGCCGCTCGGGCGTGTGAAGCTCCGGCGGGGGCCGCGCAGCCGCCGCTCGCTCGGACCGCCCCCCGCGCCGGCCCCACCAATCACGGGCCTCGGCCCCGCGCCGGCTGCACCAATCACGAGCCTCAACCTCCGCCCCGCCCCCTCGGCCGCCGGCGTCTGTCAGCCCGCGGGCCGGCGCGGAGCGGAAGCGGCGCTGCCTCCGCCGACGCGAGCGCGCCCGGTGGCCGGCAGCGGCGTCGGGAGCGGCGGCGGCGGCCGCACTTCCGAGCCGCCCGGGCCACGGCGAGACGCGGGCGCGCGGGGCCGCGCTCCATGCCTGTGTGGTGCTGCCGCTGCTCCCTGACCGGGCACTTCCGGTGAGTGGCGGGCGCGGGGGGCGCGCGGGCCGGGCCGAGGCCGGGTTCGGGACGGGACGGGACGGGCGGGAGCGCGCGGGGGTCGCGCGCCGCCGTCTGCTTCCTGAGGGCCTCTCCTTGGGGTTCCTCGTCTCCCCCTTCTCCTCTTTTTTTTTTTTTTTTTCCTGAACCGGGACCGTCGCGACACTTGCCGGGAGCGTCACGGCCGCCGCTAGGCTCGGCGCGCGGCTCGGTTCGGGCGAACTGAGGCGGGGGGAGTGTTGCGAAGTTCGCCGCGGACGCAGGTCTGTGCCCTCCTCAGCTCCCCGCGGGAAATGTGTGTTTTTTTTTTTTTCCTCATCATAAGGAATTGACCGAGTGTTCCCGGGTGGCCGCGGCCGGCGCGCGTCCAGCCTGCAGGTAGGTGCGGACCCACCCGGCGACGTCAGCCTCAACCCGCGTGGACGGCTGTCGCGGCGGGTGCGGGGCTTTTTTTTTTTTTTTTTTAGGACGTGTTTTCGTGGGGGGCAATAAGGGCAAGACTTGTGGTGGTCCGGCTGGCCTCAGGACCCGACAGCCCTCGAGCCGCAGGGACCCGACCCGGTGGTGCAGACGGTGCAGTGCTGAGGCTGGGGACTGCTCGCTCAAACTTCAGGAGCCAGCATGCTCCCAACTTTGTGAGCCCAGCGCTTCTTTTTTCTGTTTTTTTTTTTTCACCACCGTTTTTTTTTTTTTGCCATCACACGGACCCGCAAAAATGTGGCATCCGACGCGATTTTGCAAACATGTGAGCCCGGGGTGGTGGACTGGGGAGGCTTGTTTGTAGCATCGAGTTGCCCGTGAATTGGATGTGTCAAAGAGAGGCACAACGGAGTGTGTGTGTGTGTGGGGGGGGGGGGGGGGGGGGGTTTGCGGGAAAACCTCCTCCGAATCTCCTGTTTCCTTCCTTTGTGAATACACGAGACAAATCACGTAACATTATTCTTTTTTTTTTTTTTTGCTGTGTCATCAGTAGAAATCACGAGTATTTTTTTTTATCTCATTACACTTGTTGGAGATAACCTTAAAAGCAGTGTAATAGTACAAAAAAAATTTGAAGGTTTTTTTTTTTCAATAGAAAGCTCTGTCGAGTTTCAGCAGTTTACATGACAGTATTTTGATTTTATTATCTTTATAGATTCAATATGCTTTATACGCTTGATATTTGAAGGGCAAGAGTGAAAGTCCAGAGGGTAGAGTCCAGAGGGTAGGGCACTTGTCTTGAAGGAGACTGATCCAGGTTTGATCCCTGGCACCCCATATGGTTCCCTGAGCACCACCAGGAGTGGCCCTCCAGTGCAGAGCCAAGAGTAAGCCCTGAGCACCATGGAGTGAGGCCCCCCAATTAAAATTATAATCTATTTTCCTCAAAACTTGGCCAAATTGTCAAAAACGGGCATAAGACGGAGGGAATTCAGAATTCTAAGTAATAAAGAACAGTGATCTAAATTCTGGATTTTTGTTTTGTTTTATGTAATTGGAACTGGATTTTAAGTTCAAGGCAAAATATTGGCTCCATGACAGTGGTTCGAAGTGTCACATTCACAGAGGGTTTTGGAAAACAAGTTCTCCTACTTGATAAAACAAAACAAAACAAAACAGAAGCTCCTGAGAAAGTAGTATGCCTCAGAAAAACACTGTCCAGAGTTTTGACAGTTTCTGGTTCCCAGCAGGAACTCCTACCCATTTAGCAACCCTAGATATTGAATACCATATGCTTGCTTCTTTACCGAGGATTGGAGGAAAGGATAAAAACAATTTGCTATTTTAAGAAAATCACTGGAATAAAGTGCAGACCAAATCTGGCTTAATTATTTGCCAGTATCCTAGGCTAGGGTTTTCAAAACTTATTTTTGTAGTTCAAAGGAAAGTGGGGCAGTTTCATAGCAAGAGAAGTTATTTCTGGTAAAGCTGCCTTCTCTCTTCGGAAAGGCATTAGGGGCTGGGGGCTTGAAGCTGATTGCCTCATTCGTGCGGATGGAGAAACTCCAGATTGGTTTAATGTTATACTTTGGGGTGAGGTTAAAACTGCAGCTTCAGTTAGGTTTTAAATCGTGTGGAGGCTGGCTTGTGAAGGACACTATTTGGAACTGATTTTTTTTTTAACAGCACCACCCCCTCACCCCCCTTTTAAACCTCCACCACTCTTAGTTCCACCTACCCACTCTGCCTCCCCTTCCTCTGGTAACCGCAGATTGTTGTGTATATTGTTTTGTCTGTTCATCTTCCTTCCTGAAATTACAGATAGAGGCGAAGTCATTCACAGTCTTTCTCCATCTACTTTTCTGCTTTTTGTTTTTTTGGGTTTTTTTTGTTGTTGTGTTTTTTTTTTGTTTGTTTGCTTGTTTCTTTTTGCTTTTTTGGGTTACATTTGGCGATGCTCAGGGGTTACTCCAGGCTCAGCACTCAGGATTTACTCCTGGTGGTGCTTGGGAGACCATATGGGATGGCACGAATCGAACCTAGATCTACTGTGCAAGGCAAATGCTCTACCTGCTGTACTGTTGCATTGGCCCCTCCATCTAATTCTCAGCTTTGTGTTCACTGTCACTTGTCACTGTCCTCCCATTGTTCATTGATTTGCTCGAGCGGGCACCAGTAACATCTCTATTGTGAGACTTGTTAGTGGCATATCGAATACACCACGGGTAGCCTGCCAGGCTTTGCCGTGGGGGCGAGATACTCTCGGTAGCTTGCCGATCTCTCCAAGACAGGCAGAGGAATTGAACTCGGGTCGGCTGTGTCGGTCATGTGCAAGGCAAACACCCTACCTGCTGTGCTATCACTCCAGCTTGTGTTCTGTGCATTTAAGGAAATATTATCTGGACATTAAACTGGTACTTCTATACGTGGTTGCCCTGCCCTCTCCCTCCAAGAAAAAAGCTGTTGTGGCATTTAATGACCCGGTGGTTTCCAGCTCCCTGGACAGAGGCCTCTCCCACTCTCTTAACCTCAGCTTTTCTGCTGGCTTTCAAGATGACAGATTGCTTTCCCCCAAAACTTTGTGGTAGCCTGAGTACACCCTTCCATCACAGAGCCACTCCAGTCTGACTTCTGGCAGCATTGCCCTGGCTCTGTTCACTGACCAAGGCCTCCGTTTTTCAGGATTGACAGACAGGTGGCCCGAAGCTTTGGTTCCTCTGTAAGTGATAATGCCTCATCTCCGCTTTTCCCGCTAGCCCGCATGATGTTTGTCAAAGTTGAATCAATACATGGGATACCGACATTACCCTGAACTCCTGGGTGCTTCCAGTGCTTGGCGAGGTTGGCCGTTGGCCCCGCTTTGTGTAGCCCCAAAGTTTTTTGGTCTCCCTCAGTCAGGATAGCATGTTGGTAGTGGACAGGACAAAACAGGACAGACTCTCCAAATTTTGTTCGTATGAATTTGAATAGTAAGTCTTCATTTCACAGCATTTTTTCCTTTAGAAACTGACCTGGGCATTTTCTGATCACCAAGTTTTGCTTACGACATTAGACTGTGAAATCTATTAGATTGCTTGCTAAAATACCTTTCTTAAGTGTTTCAAAGGGTTCTTTGTTTTTAGATTGTACAGAGCATTTAAGTAGCCTGGCTTTCTGTCTGTCACTGTCAGTGTTCTCCCGTTGTTCATTGATTTGCTCGAGCAGGCCCAGTACCATTGTGCGACCTGGCTTTCTATATAAAGAAGAAAAGAAAGAGAACATCAGAAGAACACACACACAGTGACTGTCAACACATAACCATTTTAAATTTTATTTACTTATATATTGAATTTTTGGCTGATACCTGGCAATGCTCAGAGGTTATTCTTAGCTGCTTGGGGCACCATATGTGATGCCCTAACCCTAACCCCAGTTGGTCGCGTGCAAGGCAAACACCCTTCCTGCTGGAATATCACTCTGGCCCCACATAGCCATTTTTAAAATCTGAGATGTTTATGATTTGCAGAGTGAAATAGCTTTTTTTTAGTTACCACAAACTTAAGAGAGTTGATCTTTTGGATCTGTAGTAGGATAGTTCTAAAATATATAACCTCTTATCTTTGGCCAAAATGCACAATTTGCAACATAGTCTCACAACTAAAATGTTCTGTCTTTGGTCATCAGGAGAACTTACTTTGGACTTGTTTTAGAAAAACTTTTGCCTGCAAGGCAGAAAAGACACTAACAACTATTTAGGATTTATAACTTTCAAAGTAGTAGAAGGTGGGATTTGTAGCCAAATTACTATTATTAAAGCATTCATTAGATGATTTTTTCCCCCTCATTATGGTAGTTTTGACTATTTTATGTCCTGAGTGAAATCTAGAATATTTTAAAATTAAAGATTGTTTATTTTGATGGGAACATCTTTATAATGACTATAATGACTATATCTTTTGTTTTTCAGAAACTATAGTGACACAGAAACTGAAGGAGAGATTTTTAATTCCTTAGTACAATATTTTGGTGATAATTTGGGGCAAAAAGTTAAAGCAATGCCATTAGTTGAAGAAACTTCTTTACTTGAAGATTCTTCAGTGACTTTGCCTGTGGTAATAATAGGTAAGTTTTATCCTTTTTAAAATTTGTTTATTTTTTTGTTTAAATTATGATTTTTTGTTTAAATCATAACAGTTATGATTGTTATGATCTTTCTATAAATCTATAGTTACCTACTATAAGTTCTTTGGATCGTATTGATAAGTATGGAGTTCTTTGATGTTTAAAGTAACAGTTTTTGGAGATTGTAATTTAATTACAGTTAGATTGTGTTGGAACTGACATCTTTTCCTGGAAGGATTTCTGTTACTTTGTTATTTTCCCCATAGTCCCTAAGGGCTGTGTTAATTGTATGACAGTGCTGTGTTATTAGAGATATATACCGAGTGTTCTGTGTAGTTTTTTGGAATCTGCCTTCCAGTCCTAATCCTAGAGTCTTCTGACATAGGAAAGATGCAGGCGGGGGGAGGGGTGGAAGAGGTGGAAGGGAATCAGTTGAACAGCTTGTGCAAGTGCTCCTTTGGAACATTGCACTCCTCTGCCTTGGTGTTTTTAATGGCCTTAGCTGAGACATTACTTTGTATCCTTCTACATTTAGGCATGTAAGATATCCACATAGAGATCTGGGGCCTGGAGATACAGTACAGCAGGTTAGGCATTTGCCTGTCATGCAGCTGACTTGCGCTCAATTGCCAGCACTCCATGTGACCCCCGAGCCCCACCAGGGGTGATCCTTGAGCATGGAGCCAGGTGTTAGTCCTGAGCGCCCAAACCAAAATAATAATAAAAAATAAAGCCTCTGACAATTTCAGGAATAAATATTTTAATTTGGTTTAATAAAATAATCATTTAATTTTATTATATGTGATTTTATCTTCTGATCTTCAAACTATGGAAGCCAGGCAAATACTAGTGTGAATCCAGGGCCCAGAAGAGCATTAGGGAATATCGTGCCTTGATGGTATACAGCTTCTTGTCTTCTTGATAACCTATTTTACAGTTGGCAGGAAAGGGAAAGGAGTCCTCTGGCATATAATGCAGTGAATGAAGGAGAGAAAGAGCAAAAGATACTTATGATGGTTTAGCAGTTATCCCAGCTGTATGAAATTTTTGATAGAAGGTAATAGAGAAGTCTTAACCCAAACTAAACTTACTACAGGAGGACTTCAGCCGAGTTCTGTGAAAGATTCCACTGGGCTACAGGCAAAGTATGTGAAAATAGGGGCTGGAGTGATAGCACAGCGGGTAGGGCGTTTGCCTTGCATGCAGCCAACATGACCGACACAGGTTCGATTCCCAGCATCCCATATGGTCCCCTGAGCACCGCCAGGAGAAATTCCTGAGTGCATGAGCCCGGAGTAACCCCTGAGCATCGCCGGGTGTGACCCAAAAAGCAAAAAAAAAAAAAAAAAAAACTAAATAAAGGTATGTGAAAATAGAGAAAGACTGTATTAAGAGACTGTAGCACTCTCATTGTCTTTCCATTGTTCATCGATTTGCTCGAGTGGGCTCAGTAACATCTCTATTGTGAGACTTGTTGTTACTGTGTTTGATATATTGACTATGTCCCAGGTAGCTTGCCAGGCTTTGCCGTGCAGGCGAGATTCTCTTGGTACCTTGCTGGGCTCTCCGAGAGGGACAGAGGAATTGAACCCTGGTCGGCTAGGTTGGCCGCGTGCAAGGCAAACGCCCTACCCGTATTAAGAGACAGAACTGGAAAATTGATTCAGACCCACATATGGGGAACACTAAGTAGCTGGAAACGAGCAGAGTTGGTGGAAGCGCATGAAGAGGAATGTGTTACTAAAACCCACCTGAATGTGGGATGAGGTGGGGGTGAGTCTTAGCTGAGGAGGAGGAACAGGGAAGATTTGTCTCTTAGGTGAGAGCTGTCTAGAATTGTGAATTGTGGAGCAGCTCACTGGCTGCTGGTGGCAACACTAGTCTCCACCCAGAACCCGATTTAAGTTCGGATTTGCTAATACCCTACTTTGAGACAGGAGAGGGCACTGGATGGAGGAACTCGGGAATCTGCTTTTGAGCACGTTGTCATTAAAGGTACCAGTGGGTCAGTCAAGTGCAGTGAAAGAAGTAGCATTTGTGGGATATATTTGGGGGCAGGGGTTAGACTAATTTGAAGAGTCAGTAGCATAGAGAGTTGAAGCTTTGAGTAAATGAGATACCGAGTACCTCTTATAAAAAGCTATGAGAGAAGGTCAAAGGTTAGAAACTTGGGAATTTAAGAATTTAATGAAGAGGGAGATGGGCCTCACCAACTCTTATGAAGTCAGAGAAAAAGCAGAGAACAAAGAAATTAAGATATGACATAGTATGTCATGCTTTTTTTTTTTTTTCACATAGGAAATGGACCCTCAGGAATATGCCTTTCTTACATGTTGTCAGGCTACAGACCGTATTTATCATCAGAAGCAATACATCCCAATACAATCCTGCATAGTAAATTAGAAGAAGCGAGACATCTTTCCATTGTTGAACAGGTATTATTTCTTAAGTGGCAGTTTCCAAACTTATTTTTGTACTAAAAGTAGGGTTGTCTTTTATTTATATAAGCCTGTGTTGAAAATTCTTCCTTCTCAAGAATACTTGGTATGAGTTTCATTTCAGGTTTGTAAGTATATGGCATATATATAATGCTGTGTTCTGTTTATTTCCCTGAATTGTTAAGAGCATAACTTCCCAGATTATCTTCTTTCAGAATTTTAAGAGATGCTGCATGTTGAAGTAGATTTGGAAAGTGCTGCTTTGATTTGGAGCAGTGTAGCAGACATCATCAAATTAAATGGCATGTTCAAGTTTTTACATTTAAAGGAATTTGATTAGCATTATTGAAATCCCCCATTATTTTACTGGAGAGTCTGTTTTAGGTAGAGGTGAACAAAAACATGAGTACTTTGTAGCACAGCATATGACAAATGCTGGATTAGGTTTGTGGCTTTTACTATCACAGTGGTTTCTTTTCAAACTCTTCCCTTTTTCCTTTCTTTGAAAAAAATAATTTATTCAGGACTTGGAATATTTGTCTGAAGGCCTTGAAGGTCGATCATCCAATCCAGTTGCTGTACTTTTCGACACACTTCTTCATCCAGATGCCGACTTTGGGCATGATTATCCATCTGTTTTGCAGTGGAAATTAGAGCAGCATCATTATATTCCTCACGTAGTTCTTGGTAAAGGTCCACCAGGTGGAGCTTGGCATGTGAGTATATTTTTCTGTGTATTTTGTACATAGGAGTTAACATCATCTTGCAAAGACCTTTTGGTTTTTAGATATTATTTAGATATGTGATGTTATCTGATGTTTGTCACATGTTTATAATTTGATGCTTTTCAGTTAAGTATTAGTTGTTAGTAGAAGTTTAGCCAAGTTTAATTGCTCATTCCTCTGCCCCTCTCAAAGAGCCTGGCAAGCTACCGAGAGTATCCCGCCTGCATGGCAGAGCCTGGCAAGCTCCCCGTGGCATATTCAATATGCCAAAAACAGTAACAACTAGTCTCATAATGGAGACGTTACTGGCGCCTGCTCGAGCAAATCAATGGACAGTGCTACAGTGCTGCAGTGCAGCCTTAGAATAAGCATTTCTGCATACTGTCTTAAAGTGATACAGGAAATACTTGCAGGATGTTTTGCATATTCTTCATTTAAGTAATTTTAGAGTTGATAAAATCTTACCGTATCTTGGCCATGTAAGTAGAACTACAGCAAACATAGGCATGCATATATCTTTTTGAATTACTGTTTTGCTGTGTTTTGGGATAGGAAAGTTTTATATTCTAAACCTTCTGTTTTGAATATAAAAAGTTTTTTTTTCTGTAATAGTATTCTATCAAAATTTTTTGTCACAAGCTTTCTACATGTAATGTTAAACTTGTACATGGATGTACAAGTGTTGTATAGATGAAAAGTGTTGTATAGATATTATCAAATGATGAAAATATTTTAATATTCTCTCCTTTTCTACATACTTTATTATAAATGGGAATAGTTTTGCTAAAAAAAATTCATTGAATGTTACTGTTTGCATATTTTTTTACTGTTTTTTTCATTCTATTAGAATATGGAAGGGTCCATGTTGACAATCAGTTTCGGAAGTTGGATGGAGCTACCTGGACTTAAATTTAAAGACTGGGTGTCTAGCAAACGAAGGTAAAGACCAAATATTAAGATTCTTTGGTGTATAGTGGGAAGAGTGTAATGGGCAGGTTTCAAAACTTAAATTAATAATATAACTGTATATTAATACAGAAGTGATTTTAGCAGTAATTTTATGTTTCCTTTTAGAGATATAAAACTGAACCTAAAGGATTTGTCTGCAGATAGGATTTTATAACTTTATACAGTCATGTTTTTTCCACACTTCCTACTTATTTTTTACGCATATATAAATATATTTTAAAAGATTCTTTTCTATTTTTTAAATTTATTTTTATAAAGTTGCTCATAACTTATTACGTTTGATATTCAAACACCAATCCTACCACAGGTGCACCTTCCCACCACTATTATTTCCAGTTTTCCCAACCACTCTGCAAGCCTGCCCCTATAGAAGTCCCTGAATAATTTATTTTGTATTGCTTGTTATAAATCGCTAAAAATGATCAAAAACATTTCCTTAGAAGAGGGTATATAAATATTGTATCTCACCGTGGCGCAGGGTCGAAGCATCTTTGCCAGATTTTTTTCTTTTTTGAGTGAATGTGAGCTGCAATTTTAATGAATGGAGTAAATTAGAATCTGGCTTTCTTTTTTCTTTTTCTTTTTATTTTGACTTCTTTTTTAAAATGAAGCAAGATCATTTTTATTTAATGACACTTACTTCAGGGGAGAAATTAATGAAATTCATGCAGGGAGAGAAGGAGAAAGTATGTGTTCAAAGAGAACATGGTCTCCTCCAGAGTGGAAAATCTAGCATAGAGAATGGAGACAAGCAAGTGTTCAAGGGCGAACATGAGCTTGAAAGCAAACTGAATCTGGCTACATTTATAGAAATACTAAAGTGGGAGTAACTGAGAAGCTCAGCTTGGAAGACTAAAAGTTTTATTTTGGTATAAATAACCCAAAATTCAAAAAAGAAAAACTGGGGGTTGGATGTGGAGGGATGCAATAGTACAATGGGTAAGGCACTTGCCTGGCTGGCAGCCAAACTGGGTTTGATCCACGGCACCAGACCTGCTGCCCCAGCCCCAGGAATGGCCCCTCACAAAGCCAGGAATAACCAGGAGCACCACCATGTGTGGCCCAAAACCTTGTTGTTGTTTTTTAATGGAATTGTTATGGGTTTGAGATATAAAGTTATGAAATCAGGCATAGATTACGCGTGCTTGATTTCAGAAGTAAGCAAGTGCAGTGCTCAGCATATACTTCCCTTTGTTTCATGGGTAAGGGAAAGCTTGTGTTCCAAAAATGTTACTGTTTGTAAATTGGGCTTATTACATATTAAAATAACATGAAAAGGGGTATTGTATGAATATTCCAGTACCTGTCACTTTACCAGTGTGCATTTCCCACCACCAGTGTCTCCTTCCACAGCCCTCGCCTCCCTCCAAGAAGCCTGTTTCTGTGGCAGATACGTCTTTGGTCCTCCCTGTTCCTGTCCCCGTCCCCTTCCTCTCTCCTTGCTCCTGTGTCCTCTCTCCTCTCTTAAGATAGGCAAGGTTTGAATCTTGACTATAACATTACATTTCCTGTTTTAATTAAACTCAGCTGTCAGTTTCTTTGTACAGAGGAGACAGTGGTAGAAAGTACTTCTCTGGGATATCTGTAAATATTAAGTTAAATCTTAATTTCAAGCTTTAAGTTACAGATAAAAATGAACTATGGTGGAATAAATTAGTATCTTTTTTCTTATTATCTCCTAATTCGGGCACTAGTACCTATTGCTTTCAAGTGAAAAAATTAAAATTATTAGTCTTTTTTCAAAAAGAATAGATTGTAGATCACTATGAGTAAGAAAATAGAAAAATGTTATATTTACTTGGACGTGAAATGATTTCATTCATACTGTGATCTGAATTAATTTGGGTCTTGGTGAAAACAGAAAGTAATTTCAGTAGCCTATCAAGCTAGTGCGTATAACCTTTTTGCTTTTTTCCTTTTGGTGTTTGGGCCACACGGGGCAGTGGCTCTGTCTTTGAACCATATGAGGCAGGAAGGCAGTCCTGGGCTTCCTGTCTACAACATGTGTGCTCAGACTAGTAAGCGCGTCTCGGCCCCACAGCGACATGATCCTCAAAGGAGCATTACAGTCCGACTTATAGCATGAGTGATTGTAATCCGAACTGTGCTTACAATCCGTGTATGTATGTGTGTATATAGTAGAATGTACTATATATGTTGGTAGGATATTAATATTATAGATTGATTTATATTTTAATGGTGATAGGCTAAAGAATAGTCCACTTATCAGATGACCACATTGTAATTGCTTTATTTTACTTAATAAAATTGGTAAAAAGCAGCTAATCTAGAGGTTTGGGAGTTTTTGTTTGTTATTTTTGTAGGGTTATTAAAGCAACTAATCTGAATAGTTGTCTGTGCCTGGCACTGGGGAAACATACATTAAATACAATCTCAGTTCATGGGCCTTGACTGATAAAACTATTCACTTTTAACTTAAAAAACAAGAATAACAAAAAGGAAAGCTTTATTTGTTTGTAAAAGTGCGGTATAACTTACTGGTAAGGGGAACCAGAAGAATTCAAATACACATTAGCATACTAGATGGAGAAATAATAAACGTGGAAATTAAAAAGTGTTCTTATAGGATATTTTTCCTTTTCCACTTACAGGAACCTGAAAGGGGATAGGGTTATGCCGGATGAAATAGCTCGCTACTATAAACATTATGTTAAAGTCATGGGTCTCCAGAAGAATTTCCGAGAGAATACCTACATCACCTCTGTGTCAAGACTTTACAGAGATCAAGATGACAATGAGGGTCAAGACAAAGATATTTCGACACAGCATTTACAGATGGAGAAGTCAAAATTTGTCAAGAGAAACTGGGAGATCAGGGGTTATCAGCGAGTAGGGGACGGGTCCCACGTTCCTTTCTGTCTCTTTGCTGAGAATGTGGTTTTGGCAACTGGAACATTGGATTCTCCTGCCCATCTGGAAGTTGAAGGGGAAGATTTTCCCTTTGTGTTTCATTCAATGCCTGCATTTGGAGCTGCTGTAAACAAAGGGAAGTTTCGTGGCAGAGTGGATCCAGTGCTGATCGTTGGGTCTGGGCTCACTGCAGCCGATGCAGTGCTGTGCGCTTATAATAGCAATATCCCCGTGATCCATGTCTTTCGCCGGCGAGTGACTGATCCGAGCTTAATTTTCAAACAGCTTCCAAAAAAGCTTTATCCAGAGTACCACAAAGTCTATCATCTGATGTGTACTCAGTCTAACTCTGGGGACTCAGATCTTCTCTCTGATTATACCAGTTTTCCTGAGCACCATGTGCTCGCCTTTACGTCGGACAAGAAGTGCGTTCTTCAGAGTATCTCTGGGTTGAAGAAAGTATTTAAACTCTCTGCAGCAGTCGTACTAATAGGGTCTCATCCCAATCTGTCTTTTCTCAAGGAGCAAGGGGCCTACCTGGGCCATAAATCAAGCCAGCCAATCACATGTAAGGGTAATCCTGTCGAAATCGATGCTTATTCCTATGAGTGTGTCAAAGAAGCCAGCCTCTTTGCACTGGGTCCTTTGGTCGGAGACAATTTTGTTCGATTTTTAAAGGGCGGGGCACTGGGCATTACACGCTGTTTAGCTACAAGACAGAAGAAAAAGCAACATTTATTTGTTGAAAGAGGAGGAGGAGAGGGGATATCTTAAAACAAGCTTACAAACAGTCATATGGACAGTTTACCTTTAAAGATTTTTAACAGTGTACTGATTGAGTTTTCTGAACTTGAATCCACTGGAAAAAGGCTTCATAGACATTAACTTCATTTTTTAAAGTTCCAGAAACTTGGTGTCCTAATTTCCATGGTAACATATTGAAGTTGTTACTGTCAGAAAAGCAGGGGTGGTGGAAGAATGCCAGTTTGGTTTAAGTTCTCACTTAACTAAAACATCTGTTTTCGAAGACTTTCTGTGATCACTTTTGATTATTTCTTGTTTGATTCCCACATCGTACAGCTTCAAAGCCACACAATCATTGGGCCAGAAATTGTCCCTTGATACCCCTGTAGAGGTAGTGCAGAGGCCAGACATGTCGGCTTTGTGTGTGGCTTCTAGAAATGTGCATTCAGGATCACTTACATGATCAGAAATGTTTTTTTAGTGAGACCCACATGGAATATTTATGTTTATTAAGGTTTGTGGCACACAGGTCTGATGAAGTGGGATAATGTATATTTGTTCAGAGGGGGTCAGGGGTAAGAGGATTTCCAACTCAGGGCTTATTTATTTTAAGATTATCAATGTAAATTTAATTTATTACCAAATCTTGGTTTTTAAAAATATATATTGTTGGAACCTTGACAGATTCGTCTATATTGTCAGCTTCTAATAATGTAAACAGTCTTAAGTTTATACTAATTTAAGCAGTTTAGCACTGTGGGCATACGTTTAGACATTCAGCAACCTGCTAAGGTATTTCTTTAGAGATTTATTCTCTAACAATCAAAGCAATCTAATTTTTAGTTCAATAAATTGTAAATAGAACTATTTATCCCTGTATGAACACTGAGGTAATTTCTATCACTGAAACAGAGATATAGGGCATACTTGTAATAATGTAATTATTATGTGATTTGGGCATAATATTTGGGTATTTCCAGAATTATTAAAAGCTTAAATTTTAAATATAGTGAAAACCTACCTGTCTTTTTCCATTCCCAAGATTACTAACCGTGCCATTTGTCCATTGGAGATGACAGAGCAGCTCTTACTCATGTGTTTGTCCTGAATTAATATGCTCTAATTCTGATTTATCTTTACTTAGGTATGCTGTTTTCACACTTTTCATAATTTTTATGGTTTTACAGATCTAATCTCTCCATGGCAAACTGAATGTCTTGGTCCTTTTTTTTCCCTTTTTTTGGGGGGTGTAAAAATTATTTTTTCTGGATTGTGTTCATTTAACATCTAATTCTGTTTTTTTTTTTCTTAAAATAAAAATAAGGAACCAAAAATTAAATGTCAGCATTCTGTTCATCTTGTTGCAATATCATGTGCCTTCAAGGTCATCCACCTTATAATAAACTGCTGAGAATACATTGCTTTTGTAACTAGTTTCTTCAGCTATTTGAACTGGTAAATCTTAACTGTTTTATTTCTGGTATAATAATTTAATTAGGTAAAATTTTCCCAAGTATTAACAGAAAACATCCTACTTTATCTTTATTTCACGAATATTTTTTAATCAGAAAACAAGACTGCTACTGATAAGAAAGGATGTGACTTTCTGGGGGTGCACACCAATCAGTGTTAGGGGCTTCTCCCGGCTCTGTGTACAGGGCTTGCCCCCAGTGATGCTTAGGGCACCATGTGGTGGTGGGGATGAACCCCAGGCTCTGACTCAACAATTCAACTCAGAGGTAACTGTCTACACAGGAAACATACTTGCACAGGATGCCAAGGTGCACTGATGCTCCAGCCACATAGGTCCAGGGTACTGAGTGTAGATGCTCATTCTTCAGAGTGCTGTTTCCTCCAGCTCTGTGCAGGCAGGAGACCAAGCAGGAGTTCTGGGTTCTCTCTGCAACACTGCATGACCACCAGGTCATCTGAACTCTTGCTAGGAGTGACCCCTGAGCACAGCCAGGTGTAGATGCCATCCTGACGCCCCCCCACCCCCTCTCACAGTCAGTAAGGAGCCGAGAGCTGACTCAGTGGGAGGCTTGATCCGAAGACCACTAGCTATGACCAAAAGGAAAAGTTCTATTTTTCAGCTGATCTTTCTGAGAATCATACATTAGCTAAATGACAGTTCAACTTATATGCCACCCCCTTCAATTTGATGTGGTAACCTGTTTATGACAATTAAATGGTCACTTTAATTCATCTATGTTGGTAGACAACAGGTTAGAATTTGGGGCCAGTGCCATCCTGTGCTCAGGGGACACTGCAGTACTGGGCCTCAGTGAGGGGACTGTGGAGCAGCTGAGTATCAAAGCTAGGACTCCCCACATGCTCAGTACCTGCTTCAGACCTCAGAGCATCTTCCCTAAATCAAAGGTGACCCAAGTGACTTGGTCAACAGCTCCCCTTTTAGAAGCAAAATGACTTGGTGCCTTTCTCTCAAATCTGCCTCCTCCTAGCCAGCAAGTAGGGAGTGCACACCCCAAATTGCACCTGAGATGTAAGCAGTCCAGAGCTCCCGTTCCCAGGCCTGGAGAGTCTAGTGCCACCCTCCCCCTGCCGTGGTAGTGCCACTTAGAGCAGTGCCCAGAAACTTCTTAAAGCTAGTCTCCAAAATTTATAAATTTATATCATAAAATTTAATGGCAAAGATCAACAAAATGCCCATCACTTTTTCCTCTATTAATTTCTCCCAGTGTTAGGACAGTAAATGTCCTTTTTGTAAAATGTAGAGTTAACTGAGAAGTCCAAGTGTTAAACTGGAAATGTCAAGACTAATACATTTTATTTGGACTCTTTGCACCGTTGGGGGTTGGAGGTGAGAGGAGGCGATTGTTGGGATATACCTGGCTGTGTTCAGGGCTTACTCCTGGCTCTGTGCTCAGGGGTCACTGCTAGCAGGGATCATACGGGATTAAACCTGGGTCAGTTGTGTGCAAGGCCAGTGACCTTCCTGCTGTACTCTCACTCTGGTTCCCATATAATGCACTTTTGTAGATAACCCAAGACTTACCAGTGTGGGTGCTGCGATATAGCAAACCTTGCTGCCAGCTCATTCACCTCAGACAATGTATATATATATATAGCCTGGAGAGACAAAGGGAAAATGTTCATATATACAGTATTTGAGGGATTCGGTATAACCTAGAAAGGGCCAATAATGCTCTTATTAGATTGAGCCACCAAATGGTACTTATGTAATAGACCTCTTTTCCTATTGACACATGTTGATTCCATTGCAGATGTTTTTCACATTTACTTTGTGGGTCAGAAAATGCCATTAAGTACTTAATGGCATGAATTTAATGGCATTCTGAATAAGCAAAACCAAATATATAGCACAGTTGCTCAAATCTCCTCTTGACATGTTAGCCTTTCCTCCACATCTGCCCAGGACACAGACTTCCTTGTATTAGGGCGCATTTCCCTATTCTGGGGAAATGGGCCATACATGCTTAGAATGTGTAGTTTGCTATTTCCCACTCTGGAAAAAAAGTGTTCTCTGGAATCTAACCTCTCCTTCCCTCCCTTTATTTATTTCCCAAATAAAGTTTTTTTTGTTTCACTGTTCATCTTGAAAATTCTTTTCTGTGACCTGACCAAAAAAAAAAAAAAAAAAAAAAAAAGCACACCTCCCCCAAACAAAACAAAAAGAGTACTTTTTTTCTTTCAAGGTTTGTATTTATAATTCCTTCAGAATAAAAGCAGCAGATTTTCTGGAACTCCATTTGTCAGAACTGCTCAAAGACCTCATTTAAAGGAGCGTTTTCTAAAGATTAGAAGTCTGCAAAGACTTAAAGCATCACCTGTTTCACCTTTTGTGAGCTTTACCATGTACACCTTAAAGGCCTTCAGAATAAAATGCAAAACTCATTCCATTAGAAGAAAAAGATGAAAACACCTGCGGGCTAAATTATCTGTATTCCCCCTATCTTGGTGTTGTGTAATTTCATCATATACTGGTTTATTTTGGGGGGACTGGGACACACACTCCTAAGAACTGACTCCTGGCACAGGGCTGAGTCCTGACAGTGCTCAAGGACCATTTGTGGTGCCAGAGATCAAATCAGGTCATCTGTGTGCAAAGCAAGTGCCTTAATGCTGTACTATCTCTCCAACACATACAGGTTTTGAGAATTTTTATCAGTAATAAGCGCTGAGCACCACCAGGTGTGGCCCAAGAAACAAGTTTTGCTGAAGTCAAATCTGGAATGCGCGCACACACACACACACACACACACACACACACACACACACACACTGGTTTTGCATTATGTCTAACAGTGCTGTGGACAACTTCCAGAGGTGTGCAGGGTTCTCAAAGCTGGAATTGTAGAAAAGCGTGTCTCAGGCCACATGCTCTCTGGCCCTGTATTTAAATATATTTATTTAAGTGCCTGAAGAGTTACAAGGAAGTTTTTTTCAAAGTGCTCATTGTTATAAATAGATCAATGTTACAAATAGATCAATAGATCTGCCTAGTTCTTTGTGAAACAAATGCACCTTGCTTTCTGCATGCAGATGAGTTTCTGGGTAGAAGAAAAACAGTCTCTTGTCAGTTCAGCTTCCTTGATTTCACAGAATCAGTCTTTTTCCCTAGGATTTGACACACTTGTAGTAATCACTCTCAGGTAGGTTGTGTGAGTTGACATTGGCAAAACCTGTTTTCGTTCCTTTCTTGGGCCACACCTGGTGATGCTCAGGGCTTACTCCTGACTTTCCACTCAGGACTCACTCCTGGTGTAGCTTGGGGGGGGGCATATGGGAGGCCAATGACAGAACTTGGGTGGGCTTCAGGCAAGATAAGCACTCTTATGCGCTGTTATGGCTCCAGTCTGGGCAAAAACTTTGTCTTTCATGAATAACCTCCAAGGTGTCTGTGCACAGTTTACAGGTATAAAGCATTTAACTACAATATCCCAGAACTTCTATTCTCTTCAGTGATCCCCGAAGAGTCAAGGACTTTGCTGGTTCCCAACGTGCTGCAGTTACATCTTTTCCTTCCACACCAGGCACTAAGCCCGAGACTCGCAGGTAGGCAGGTGCTTCATCGCTGGGCTACATCCCCAGTCCGTTTGGATGGATGCTCATGAGCATGAGCTTGCTTTCAAGCTGCCCAGAGTCCTTGGGCTCCATGTTTCTCTTTTCACCTAGAGAGTGGGTTTCCAACCCATCTCTAACTCCAGGGATGCTTCTATTGCCATCTGTTGTGGTACAGGAACTCTCTCTCTCTCTCTCTCTCTCTCTCTCTCTCTCTCTTGATATATATATATCACGATCATCCTGTTGTTCGTCGATTTCCTCGAGCAGAGCAGGTACCAGTAACGTCTCCTTCTTCCTAGCCCTGAGATTTTAAAAGAGCCATTTCAATACTCTTTCAGGATTAGGAAAATGAGACCCATCACTGTTAATGGTATTTGGCATATTGAGTACGACACAGACAGGAAGTTTGCCAGACTCTGCCGTGCAGGCAGGAAACTTTTGGTAGCCTGCCAGTTTCTCCAAAGGAAAAAAGTAAGATGTCACGTGGCCACAAATGTGGCTGCATGCTTCTGGAAGCTGGGTTTTATAGTCTCTGTGTCTTGGCCGTTGATGGGACCAACCTGGCACTGGTGGCAGCGACGCCTACCTACTGGAAGATGGGGGGGGGGGGCTCTGGATGGAGAAAGCACAGTCCCAATCCGAGTAGGTTTGGAGACCTCAGCCCTGGGACCCGCATGCCTGGGTTCCTCTGCCAGTTCTTTCATGCATGAGGCCCGCCCGGATGTGTGGAGAGTGGTCCCAGCATGGCCGTGGCTGGCTCCAGAGGTCCTCAGCTTCTGGGGCTCTGCTCGGGGCGGGGCGGGGGGAGAGAAACTCAACCCGCCCCCCTCCAAAGGGCCCCGATGAGGACAGCCAGGCACGGGGGCAGGAGACTATATATATATATATATATTTTTTTTTTAAATAATGAAAATACAGATTGAGCTTTTGAATCTGGATGTTTTCTATCCATTTTTAATGGTTTCCTCTTCAGTCTACCCCCTCCCTGCTCCCATTTTCCACTTTGGTGACACAGGGCCACACAGTTGATGGTGGTCTTCTGAATAGCACTGTAGCACTGTCCTCCCATTGTTCATCAAATTGCTCGAGTGGGCCCAGTAACATCTCCATTGTGAGACTTGTTACTGTGTTTGGCATACTGAATACCTCACAGGGAGCTTGCCAGGCTTTGTCATGCTGGCGAGATACGCTCAGTAGCTTGCCGGGCTCTCCAGAGGGGCAGAGGAATCTAACCCGGCTTGGCTGGGCCAGCCACGCACAAGGCAAATGCCCTACCGCTGTGCTATGAAGACCAAAAATTCTTTGTATGGGATCTGTAGGCTTAAGTCACATTCCATGTAATAAGCCTCTGTGTATTTGGTTACATCAATAT